AGCATCATCAAGTCCAACTCTAAAGTGAATGGCCCACATGGGGATAAAACATGCAACCTTGGCTTTATTAGCACCATGCTCTGACCAGCTGAGCTGATCTCAGGGTCCTAAAGATGCATTTGTCCTGCCATTTCTGCTATGTTCCACTTGAAATTATGTAGTTGTTTCACACCTTACCTAAAAACTACAGATCTATTTGATACAGTCTGAGTGTGCTTCCCTAGGAGTGAGAGGTCAGAAAAGAGTAGATAGCTTGAATTTCTTTCCAAATCCAATGTTTGTCCAAGTTCCCCAGCTCCATGGAACAGAAGAAATAGTAATGCTATACATATTTGGAAAGAAAAAAAAATAGAAAACAATAAACAAACAGTGTGGATATTAGAAACAATGTGTTCAAACAGAGGAAAAAATGCCTTCTTAAGGACTTGTTCCCTTCACATATTCAGGGAACATTAGATAAAAAGAGAAAGAAAGTGCAAAAGATCACCTCTTGAGGAGAGACGAAGCAGCACCGGGGTGTGTTACCATAGACAGTGCAGGAAAACTAAGAACTCCACTGATGCTTATAGCCAGTGAGATAAGGGAAAGAGAGAACATGGATTTTAATTATTACCAAGAGAAATAAAGCCCATCAGGGAAAATATTTAATCAAAAAGAAAGAAAAAAACCAATGAGACAGCATTTAAAATTTCCCTCTGACTACAGCCACTGCTATGCTCAAGAAAAAAAAATCAAACTAGGGCAAAGACCAAATGAGAGCCTGACAGCAGAAATGAAAGAAAAATATTTACACATCTAAGTCACTTGATCTGGAGCAGCAATTCAAAATCAAGTTTTGGAGCAAAAAATTTACCCTAATGTCTGGGTGACCCTTCTACCTTTCTTCAGGATGAGACAGTAACCCCTAATAAACACTGCCAAGCAGGGCTCTAACTCCAGCTGCAATGCCACAGTGTCCCAGGTGCTCTCTCAGAGGAGTCACACAAGTTGTACATTTTAACTGGTGCCCAGCAGATACCAGACTCCTTTTTTTCAATCAGTTTTAACGTGGGAGGCAATCTTGGAGTGGGCTGAGGAAGCAAATGTTTCTACTACTACTACTATTTTCTAGCTCCCTTTTAGTGACTAATGTTTGGTTTGTCTCAACAAACGCATCGAGTGCTGGTTAATATTATCCTAAATTGAAAGAGAATAAACATGCACATCAAGTGTTGTGCTTTGCCTTTACTCTTGAGAATAATGAGTGTAAAGATGAGAGGAGGAAATGCTATTGCTCCTGTGTTCATGAGTTGTAGCATCTCTGACTAAACCTGAGACCTGGAAATTTATTTACGTGTATTCCGAAGCTCTACAACATAATACTTCCTTGGTACTTCAAGGGAAAAGGTCTCTCCTTAGCACAGATGTCCTAAATATTAACTGCATCTTGCCTGCTTCATTGTCAAGCTAACTGCAGCTATGAAAGGAAGCAGAGTCACTGAGCTACCATAGTGCCTGAACAAAAGGCAGGATGGGCTTACCTCTCAAGCAGAAGGTCAAGGCACCAAGATAAAGGGAAAATGTAAAATTGCTCTTGCACTGTTCCACATTCTAGGATGCAATACAGAGGTAAATTTAAAGGAAAAGGGAAAAAAAAAAACCAAAGTTGGTCAGGGCTGTCCTGTCTGGGGCTACCACATTAAATCTACCAGGTCCTAAAAACTCATTCTGAGCTCAGAGCACATTCCTCTCAGTCACATAAACCTCTATCCATGAATTAATACAGTCACAGATGCTGTGCTGGTTTTGTGTGGGAGGCTGGAAGGAGACACAGCTGGGAGAGGTGACCTAAACCAACCAAAAGGATATTCTGATCAGATGACGTGTTCAGTATATCAAGTGGGAGGAAGAAGGAAGAATAAGGGGGCGTTTGGAGTGATGGTGTTTGTCTTCCCAAGTAACCATTGCACATGATGGGGTCCTGCTGTCCTGGTAATGGTTGAACACCTGCCTGCCCGTGGGAAGCAATTAATTAATTCCTTGTTTTTCTTTGCTTGTGCGTGTGGCTTTTGCTTTCCCTATTAAACTGTCTTCATTTCAACCCACAAGTTTTCTGGCTTTTACCCTTCTGAGTCTCTTCCTGATCCCACTGGTGGGGAAGTGAGTGGCCGTGTGGGGCTTGGCTGCTGGCTGGGATGTGTATATTAGAACGTGAATCAGGCCACATCTCAGTGCTATTTACCACAGATATAAGAAAGCAGGATATGATCATGAAAAAATCATGAAAGAATTCTCACAGAAAGCACCAGTGTCACAGTATGGATGGAAAGATGTAATGGAATTAGCAAATTCAGACAAGTTAATCACAAGGCAAGGAAAGGACAGTGCAACCTGGAGTACCAAATAATTAGACAGGAGCAAGCCAAGAGAATGTCGTTTTGGTTGAAAAGCAAAAAAAGGTGCAGAGAATGCTTTCAATGTATCTTACACCACATACCACTTAGATTTTGCTCTCTGTCTGCATAAACAATAACTATATCTACTATAAAGTGATGAACAAATACTCTTCCATTGATTACACTGCATTTGCCTTTTACTTCTGAATGTGCCAAGTTTTCAGGGGTAAACCTCTTGCCAGCTAATCATTTGTGGAGTTGTTGGGATTTGATTTTTTTTTTAATAAAAAACAACCAGCACATCTGTCTCTATGGGACTTCTTTTACAGTACCACAAAAAAAAATATATTGTGTTTTCCAATGTGACTTGAAAAAAACCAGTTTCCAAGGAGAGAAAACAGAGACAAAATTCAGTTTCAAAATTAAGCCCTCTGATAAAAGCAGAAGCCATCTCATGTCATGCTACATTGAAGTAGCTAGCTAACAATCAACAATGATAACCAAAGCCTATCTCCCACAGTCACTTTTGTACAAGGACACAAAATAATCATACTAAATGTGGTTGTTTGAATGAAAGTATCAGGTAAATCAATGCTGACTCACAATCATCTGTCTTCACTTAAGAGTCATTAGGAGTCTCAATTAGTGAGAAATGAGAAAATTACTATCTTGAATAATGTGACAAACCTCTGAAAAGAACTATGAAAAAAAGCAGCCTGAATTCATACCACATTCACAGAAAAAAACCAAAATATCAGCACAAATTGCAAATCAATTTACTTTTATGTAGTACTGCAAGTCCTAGTCATTAGTTTGTTTGGTTTTTTTTGTTTTTTTTTTTATTTCAAAGCAAATTAAATAAGGAAGCTGAAAAAATCTACCAGTTTCAACACCTCTACCTTATTATTTTTCTCCTCTATATGGATAATAAGAAGGTTCGGTTTTTAAACACAAATTTTAAAAAGGAAGGAAGGAAGGAAGGAAGGAAGGAAGCTAATTTTGAATACTTTTTTTGAGCAAGCTAAGTCTAAACACAATATACAAATTTGACAATTATGGTTATCTGAATTCTCTAAGACCCTAAATTTATTTTTTAAAGGTTTCAGCCTAAACATTATGCATTTCCAAAGAACATGGATTCAACATCGACTAGGACAACAGTGGATCTGATGGATCTACCCTGTTCCTAGTTTTCCTGGTGACACCTCAGAACAAGTCTCTGGTCAGTGAAGGCTGTGGAAAATTACACAGTTGTGAACCCCACAGCCAGGAGAATGAGACACTGCTCCTAACGTGTATTTACTACACATTTACAAAGAAAAAAAGTACCATGAAATGCTATTGGAAATCTTTCCCTTTGATTATATATTTCGACCCCTAGACTTTGCTTTCTCTCCCATCAATACAGCCCAATGACAATATATTCTAGATACACATACCTCTGAAAGGTATTCCAACTGAAAGGAATTCCATGACAGATGCTATCCTGGCAATAAACGCGATGTTAGAACCTGCATAACTACAGAAAATTATTTTTTAAAAGCAAGCAAAATTCGTATTTGGATTTAGATTACGTTCTTCAAGCCAGGAGCGTGAAAACTCCTGCTGCTTCAGACCACCTTGAAAAGGAAACAGCATGTCATTTTCTCACAATGATGCACACCAAAAGTGGATTGGGATCCAGAAATACCAAGCTAGTCTCAAGCATTTTCTTTCACAAATAGATGAGATACCATTTCTTTCACAAGTAGATGAGATACCATTTCTTGCCATTAGAATTTGGTAATGTTTCAGAACTGGCCACTTTCCACTCTCCAGGATACCCAGCCCAAGCACAGCTCTGATAGATTCTCAGTGAATTTCTGTGCATGCAGTTAGCACAGCTGACACACAGCATGAGAACATCTGCTTTCCAGAGCAGCAGCACAGTCTAGAAAGCCTCCCCTTCTCAAGAAGTATGAACTATTTTCAGTTTCCCAAGCACTACAAGTGATTGAGTTTCAAAAGTAAACATACACCAGATATCACAGAATTGTTCAACACTCTAAAAATCCACAGATTTCAATCCTTTCCATTTGCTGAACACATTTGATACCAACTGTTCAGCAGAAACACATTCAGTGTTGTGATGAGTTTTAAGTATACCTGCTATGTCATGTATTTCCCCAACCCTTTCAAGAAGCAAGGGTAACATCTGTTGCTCAGGAGACAAAGCTTGCACAGAGCAGATTCTTGCAGCAATAAGGAAAACAGACAATCATTGAGAAGCAACAAGAATTGGAACAGAATGACTAGGAAAATGCTGATGATAGAACTAGACTTAATTTATCAACTGCAGTTTTTATTTTTAAAAAATGGACTTCACAGCTGTTTCTTCATACAACATTTATGTGGACCACGACTACTTAATAGCCTATCATCATCAGCATGTTTACCTACAATATTTGATGGAGACTAACACAACAAATTTTGTCACTATCCAAAACCTGTCACAGAATAAAGTTGCACAGAGTTTTTTGTTTTAGGGTGTAATTCATGGAAAAGATGAGCAGTTTCTACTCTTCAAAGAAAACATCTACTTTGTAGTATAAAGTATATGCAAGAAACATCCCAATTCAGAATTACCTTCTTAGTATTATTTAAATGATTTCTTCTTAACTTTCCTTTGCTGCAGAACTGTTTGACATTAGGGGCAATGAATACACTTCAGAATAAGATGCCTTTTTCCTGGATGGCATTTGATAGCGCACATTTTTCCAGAATCTTGTGTTTGCTGAACAAGATTTCTCTGAGAAGTCTCCTTTCCATTGAATAGCTCCATGTTTTTGCTTAATGAATCTGATTGATTCTGGCATGCTCATGTAGTCCTGTATTTCACCCATTTCTATAAGAATCACTTGAATCCCATCACGGATGAGAGCATTATACATAGCTAGCTGTTGCTCAGAGGTGTCTTCCAACAGGCAGCCCTTAGATGTTTCTGATCCCAAAATAATCATCAGTCTTCTGCTTTGCTTAAGGGTTTCATCAGCAACACTGACCACAGCTGTAAGTGATCAAAGAACAATCAAAGTCTGAATAGAAACTTTACAACTGGTGTAAAATAGTTCTTTATTTTACAATTGCAGACATTTGAAGCTGTGGCTAGCTCAGAGCAGTGGTTGCTTTAAGATCTTCACACTTCCAATCATGATTAATGAACAATTGCATGAACATAACTTCTAAAAAAATTGTTTTCTTCAGCCCTCAGGAGAATTTATTGTTCAAAAACCTCAACAGTATTATTAATGCTATTGAGTCCTCATCTGTTCATCACTAAGAAAGCACAGACTCACACAACATCAGAACAGAATTTTCAGTTAGGGGAAAAAAAAGGAAAAAGGAAAAAAATTTCATTGGGCAAATTATCCAATAAAACTAAATAAATACAGCTTTCTTTTCTAAAAATGTGGGTTTTAATTGCATAGATAAATTTACAACCTGAGAACAATGTTTCAAGAGGCAACCTGTTAACTTGCTAATTAAAGCATACCTTCTCCTGGTAAATCATCCCTTCCTAATATGAAAAGGTTATATCCACATTGTTTTTCTAAAACATCTGGGAGTATCCTACGAACAAAGGTTTCCAGACAACATATCCTTATGTCTTCACTGCTTTTTGTGTACAGGACATATGCGTCATAGATTTTCCCATCTAAAACAAACACAAACATTTCTATTAAAAAACTAAAACTCAGGAAAATGCCTTTATTGCACAGTTTCATTTTCGGACTGCTTAGAAATAGTAATGTGGGGCTGATTTCACCCATCTGACAGAATCACCTCACAGAAGTAAAGTGATCTATGAATCAAAATAAAGATGACCAGCCAGAGCATCTGACTTCATCCTTTCCCATCTGGGGATGAAGTAGTCACCAAATGGACTGGGTGCAGAACCTGGGACCTGCAGGAAGGAGCTCCCAATCCTAGAGGTGCCAGGGCATTAAGGAAGTACCCTCTCACAGGACCTTCTTCACCACTTCTCCTGAAAGAAACTCAACAGCAGTTATCTCCACTTCTGACTAACCACAAGAGAAGTTGGAAAAATGGCAATTCTTTCTTGTAATGATCCTGAGAGGGCTTCTGAGGTTTTGAGAGTTAAGGCTGAATAGCAAGCTGGACTGAAAGAACCAAGCCAAAATCAGATCTAACTCAAACAGTTAAAAACTTTGATTTTTTTTTTCCCCTTTTAATTAGAACTCTATTACAGTGTTATAGTAAAACTGAATTTTTGACCTGGAGTTGAAATTACTTTTCCATTAAAACATTTAGCACAGCCACGAGTAAGCATTAACTATCTTAATGTGTGTAATCCATTCACTTTCAAGCCATGGGGAACTTCAGACAGTCTAATTCTGAGAACTGACATGAAATATATCTATGATGTTGTGCTTATTTCAAATTTTTCATACCTGTCCAATATATTTGCCTGCAGTGCATTAAACTAAAACACATTAGAAGAATCCCAGAACACAGAACTAGCAGCAAATTTTCTCTTTGATAAGTCAACACCATAACTGACAGGATTTAGAAGGAAAGTGAGGGTAATAGAAAGAAATTGCAAAAATAAAAAAAAACACAATAACATTAATCTCTGACAAATGAGTCTGATTTTCAAAATAAATATTTAAGGCACGTCTTTAAACATCCAGTTTACAGGATGTAGCTCTGCTGACACCTATTGTTCATCATCAGAGTGACCATAAATCTACATGTAAAGAAACTACAGAAAATCAGTAAACAATGTGCTCCTTTTGGAATAGCCTGCCATTCTTCTTTTGACCTATCTCACTATGATTGCCTTCAATATTACACAGTTTTTATTACTTCAAGCATAATTATATATTTTATCCATATGACTGAAAAAATCCTGCACAAAATGTCTTTGTGCACATCTAAAAATTCCTTATGGAAGTTCTATGTACATTGTACTAAATAATCCTATTATTTCTCAGAAGTAAAGGCAAGAGAGAAAAATCAACAGGTTAATTACACTTACGTACCTGGTGACACTCACATACCTTCCTTACTTGTAAGGGCACAGACAGAATTACGGTACCAAAGTACCAAATCAATCTTGAAAATCTTGAAGATTATTAAAGTAATAAATGTTAAAATTAACAAAGAGACAAGCCCTCCAGTGAGCCACCTTCGTATGTCAGGAACTGCACAAAAATATAAGAAATTTCTTTTAAATGTTGAATTTGTCCAAAACCGATCTTTCACATAAATTCAGTACAAATTTGAATATTACATTTTTCATTCCTATTTACCTTGGTTTTTAAATAATGATAAATACAATACTATTGTGATTTCTTCCCTATGCACAGGCACATGCATACTGCAAACTGTAATACATCTGTTTCCTCTCAACATGATACATGAGAATTTGGTATCAAAACACCTTCTGGGGAAGTATAGATAATCACAGGCCTCAAAATAATAGTATTTTTTACCTCTGTGTTTTAATATAATATAGGATGCAACTTGCCCAAAGGCATTTGAAGCTTGACAGACAAAAGGCTGTTCATAGTCTTCACTCTTTACTTCTGAAATTATTAGCTTCACAGAATGCATAGGGCGCCCGTCATAAGAAGTTTCTCCCCTGTCCAAAAAGTGACAAATAGAACCATAAAACCACAGCCCATTCAGGAATGGCTTCATCTCTAACATCTGCAGCACTACAGTGGTTATTTCCTTCTGCAAAAGTCAACCACACTTCCCAACAGATGAACAATTACCTCATATGAACAAAACCCAAACAGTCACACCTCTCCTCGTACTGACATTTAGCATATGCATCAGAAAGCATCAAGACATCAAGAGGTTATCTTATCTGCAGCTGTGTTTCCCCAAAGGAACATATGGTTTCTATAGTTGGAAGTTCAAAAATATGCCTTACAAACCTAAATAAACTCTTGTTATGGGCTTCCCAATCCCTGTCAGAGTAGACGGACATAGATATTTCACAATAGGATATGACATTCAGGGAATGAATGAACCAACATCACTAATGCAAGTGACCAAAGATGTAAGTGTTAGGAAGTACAAAAAATAACATTGCTTTTGCAATATCAGTTCAGTGACCATGTGCCTCTGCTTTATGGCACAATTGTTTATGACTCTGTAATTCTTTATGACAGTATAATATATTAATTTTGCATAGTGTTTTCTCTTGGTGAGTAACCAAATAAGTCAGCATTTTGTTTTTCCCTTTGTTTTATTATGAAAACTAATTTCTTGCAACTATATTCTTACTTTGCAGACATCATTCTTTTCTTCACTGGTTTTTTGGTCCTAGATAGTGCTCCAGAATTTACAAAAATTATCACATTTTTTTTATTCACAGCAGCACCATAAGGGCTGAAAAAAACCCTGAGATTTTTAGTTAAAACCTGTAATGTCTAAGAACATTTCAGACTGCCTCTTGCTCCAGTTTGAGTTGGTCTTTCCAGTCAGGTATAATTTCTCTTCTTCTAATTCCATTTAACCAGCTTTTTATCATCACCTTATCTCCCACTTGCCCTTCACATGCATAACTCAGTCCAAGTCCTGCCAAAACCCAGTTCATCACTGGAAATCAGTCTCCCTTTTCTCCTCTAACCCCTAAGCTTCAGTACAAATGCCCTCAATAAAGGCTTCCATTAGCTCTTCAGTTATCTCAGTTAAATTTCTCTAACTTAATGCCCTTAAACCTACAAACATTGATTTTTCCTGTATAGCACAAATTTGTCTTCTTGCAACCTTTCAGGGAGGCAGATGTGGAATACAGAAGAAAGAGAGTCTGAAGATCATGCACCTGAACATGCCTGATTCTACCAAAAGAGGTCTCTGCCAGGCCAGAGCTTGCTCAAAAGAAACTGTATTACAATTATGGGACTGTAATAAAACACCTTTTCCCAGCAGTGGAAATACAGACTGATTTTTTACAATGAGCAAGAAACGTACAATCACATGTGAAGCTCATGTGCCTACTATGTTTAAGCTTTCTATTTCAAAGCAGAAAGTCAGTTGGAGAAGGCAAGCATTAGAGTTTTTAAGAAGAATACTGTTTAAAGCAAGGGAAAAATGTTGCTAAATATTTTAATGTCAAAGGGAGAAAGTATTACTTTGGTTGCCAACACATATATTTTCTAATCTGAAAATATACTTACTCATAGGGACTTGCAAAAATTCTGCTCATATAAAACACATCAATATATACACCGTTGCCTGTCCAGTACACCTCATACCCATCAGCACCTGTGGTGTTGCAATCCACAGTAACCTGTGAGCCTATAAAATTGTGTTACAAAGTAAAGAGTTAATTTTCATGACCTAATTAAAGTCTATACAGTCCTGTTCACGGATTCACACACACACCAGCTAAGAATGATACTAAACCCTTTCAAAAAAGTTACTCTAACAGAGGGTCTATATTCTCAGCAATCTGCAGGTCCAGAAAGAGAATGGTAGGACGGAAGAAGCTGAATCCAGGAAGGAGATGCTTCTCCTTGGGGCATCACTTTGCCTGCAGATTCAAGATGGGCCTGTTCTTAGAATCACTTCCAGAGTGATGGAAAGCAACAGATGTGACAGATAGTCACTTGAGTTCCTACAATTTTCCTTGCATCTGAGAAAATTCTTTAGGACTTTGCAAGCAACATGCCTCGTTTCTTTCCCTCTCACTCCTCATTCCTCCTTTGAGAGATCAACAGAGAGAAATTGACCACTGAAGTCATTTTTTCATAAAATAAAAACAAGAAAGCACAGAATAGGACACCCCTTAAGAATACATTTTAACTAGGATACAAATTCATATTTTCTCTAGAGAAAACTACTCACCGAGTTCCACTTCAATGGAGTTGTTTCTTGGGTAAGTTATTTCTGGAGGCTTTTTTGGTGGGGTCACTAAGCACAAGAAAGTTCTTTTCAGAAGACATGGGGCAGTTGCAGTCTGTTTTATGCTCTATAATACAAGTACAACCTAAAAACATCCCTTGTACTAAATACAAGGTTGTCAGCCATTATTTATAACAAAATACCCAAAGTACCTTATCTCAGGTAGTCATTACTGCACTTTTAGGTGAAAAACTGTAGTCCTAAGCATGTCCATCCCCAAATTAGGTCTTTCCACTTTAGTTATGAGCACAAACACAGTGAAATTATTTACTCACCTTCTACAACCAGACTGATGTCTCGTGAAATGTTATATTGTTTCCCATTGTAGGTATATGTTGTTTCACACGTGTAGTTTCCTCCATCATGTACAGTCACATTGAAAATTATAAGATCACTGTTTGAAAGGGCAAACCTTTTTCCTTTCAGCAGCTGGCAGTCCTAAAAGTGTATAGAGAAGTCTGTTAATTTACATCTCTGTATATTTCCATGGTTTGTCTCTCTTTGACACAATCTGAAGTTTTAATGGACCACAGCATAATGATGGTTATGCAGAGGCTGAGGAAGAGTGAGGGCAGCAGAATATGAAGAAATGCACACTTCAGCTGAGATTTTAATTTAAGGATACCCCAGTCCATTCCCCTTGGAAAACACCTTTTGATATTAGAGAAATAAGAAAGTAAAACGTGGGTTGTCAGTACTTGCAAAAGTATTCCTCAGTGAAGCACCACTCAATAATTAGACTTTATTTTATAAGAATCCTCAATGCTACTGGTACCACATGGACTGCATGAGCCTGAGGCAGGAATCTGGCAGAAGGCACTAGATTCTTGTAACAGAAAGAGCCTTTAAGAGAGCATGAAGAACAAGAAATAGAATAATGGAATAGAACAGTATTGAGCACCTAATGGGAATGCCAGAGTAAATCTGTTTCCACACAAGGCTGTGTTTCCCTGGCAGGTGAACAGATGCCACCTGGTGGGTACGTGGGTCAGCATCACTCCCACACCTCAGCTGACATTCTGCCCTGATAATCAGGAACACCTTTAAAAGACAGAAAGTCTTAATCGTCTTTCAATTTGTTTTAAAAGCATTTTTCTCCAACTTACAGTAAATCTTTAGTTCTTCTGTTCTAATTCTCAAAGATCACTGATTTTTATTCTAAATAATGGACAGATATAAGACAGAAAAAAACACTATATTCTCACCTTATACCAACGAACAGGCTGAATATTCTTCTCTGTCCTGAAATAATCCAAGTGGGGACAAACGACCTTTGCAGAAGATGATGTGAATATCACCTCCTCTACAGCAAACTTTTCATTTAAGCATAAACCATCAATCCTCTCAAAAACTGTTACTTTTGTACACATTTTTTTGCAGCTTGTCAAATTCCTAAAATTAATAGAACACAAATTAACCTATTTAACACATTTTTCAGGTCAAAAATGTATGGCATTCTGTTTGGAGAAGAAAGAGAAGAAAAAACATTTGCAGTTTCTTTAATAGATTTACTTTTGCCTACAAGGAAAAAACCCCAAAACTAGACTTAATTTCCCCAAACTAAAGTTATTTTTTGTAGATGTATTCCCTCTTCTTCATTAGTATTTATCTTACCCTCAAAATTTTACTTGCTTTCTGAAAGTTACTCACTATCCAACTCATTTCTGTAAAAATATAATTTTTTTTAACTTTCACCTTATGACACATTCATAATCTCCAGAATCTTCTAACATGGCAGGAAGAAACCAAATTAGATTCTTCTGCTGGTGAACTCTAGACAGTTTGTCTCTAGGCACAGCTCTCTTGTTACCAACTTTATACCATGTTAAGTTGTAGTCTCCACTTTTCAAGCTCTTTTCCAGTGAACATTTAATAGCGAGAGGCTGCCCATCAGGCACAAGACTCTGCTTTAACATCACATCATAGGCTTCACATTTCTCTGAAGGAAAGAGATAAGCATTAAAGAAAAACTCAAACACTCTGCAAAAATATACTGAACTCATCTCCTGATTATAAAGTTCATTGGAGTTTTCACCTCCATTCTCAAGTCAATCACTAAAAATACAATTTTAATCCCCTATCTTTGCAGCAGAGAGTACTACTCAGTAGTTTACAGATGTAGTTATGCCACTAAAATGAAATGCTGTTTTTTGAATGCAATCTTTACACTCAGTAGAATGTCTTTGTAGCAGAGTTATCATTTGCATGTTTTATTTCAGATGCAAATTACTAAAGTACTTGTGTTTCTCTAGTCTGTTTCATGGGCATGTACACAAACACACAGATGCACACAAAATTCACATTTAATGTCTTTATTTTTTAACTTCACTTAACTGTAGTTAAGACTATGCTTTTGATATTTAAACATCCTAAGAGGACATAAAAGTTAGTATTGTACAAATATTAAATTTGCTACAGGAATTTCAACTGACCCTTCATTTTATGAACATTTAGAAAGGAATCATTACAATCACCAATGAGCTCATCTTCTTTACTTCTGACAGACTCATGCAGAAAAAGTGCAACACCAAGAGTTTGGTTTGGGCTTTTTTTTTTTTCTTTTTTGCAATATGACAAAAAAGGCACCAACACTGGATACCATGGTCATGTTCCCAAGTCAGTAATGCTTTTATCAAAACTTCCTTGTTTTGTTATTTTATAAGAACTGCCACAGAGAGTCATGCAAGTGTCTGTTTAGCCAAAATCCTGTCTCTGATAACTATCAGTGGCAAATGTGCAGAAAAGAGGAGGACACAATAAATACAATACTACTCTGATTTCAGTCCCTTTACTGAAGGGACTGAACTGAAATCAGTTCTGCATGCAAAACCATTCACTGAATTTTATAAATTCTCTGAGTATCATGCATTTCTTGTTATGAGAAATAGTAAACTTCTTCTCATCTGCCTATTCTATGATATTTACATTTTCATAGACCTTCATCCCATCTTGCTTCTGTCTCTTTACCTCAGAGTCCTCCTTCATTTGGAGACTTCTCATATGGAAGCCATCCCATATCAGACAACACTGTCACTCATCTCTCCACCTCTTCTGATACCATCTTTCTGAGATGTAATGACCAGAACTGCAGAGTTCGACTGGCACACATTCACTGTGGGGTTAAAGCGTAGCATAATGAGGCTTTCTGTTTTCTGCTCTGATGCTTCCCAAAAATACTGGTTTTCTGGTCACCACTGATGACAGAGTTAATGATTCCAGAGAGCATCCAGAGATACCAAAGCAGCATTTCCCAAAGTGGCTATTAATTAACTTAATGCTCACATCACACACATACAGCATATTTACTTCTGCTATACATGCATGACCTTTCATACCCCTTCACAGCCACTTGATTTTACTGGCTGACATTCTATCACTAAACTATTTGATATCCAGGCACCTTCTGCATAGCAAGCATCCATTTTAACCACCTAAGAATAATTTTGTGTCATCCACAGTTCTCACCACCTCACACAGATCTTTTCCAAATTACTTATCCAAACATTGAATTACTCAGGTATCTGAATTGAATGCCCCATAATAACTGTGGTGATTATGATGTGCTGTGGCCACAGAAACTGACCATGTTTTTCTGCCACTTAGTGCTAATATTCTGCACCAGTGTAAGAGACACCAGCACATGCTAAAGACCACCCAGCTGGAAGCAGATCTGCAGAGAACACTGGGGTCCTGGTAGACCACAAGTTGATCATGAGCCACCAATGCTCCCTCATGGCAAAAGAAGGCTAAGAGTGTCCTGGGATGCATTAGGACATGCCAGATTTGAATTTACTGGAGAGAGTCCAGCACATAACTGCAATCATGATTAAGGGAGTGGAGCAACTCTCACTTGAGTAGAAGATGAAAGAGCAGGAACTGCTCAGTCGAGAGAAGATAAGGTCTGAGGAGTGTGTGGGTGGATCTTATCAATGTGTGTAAATACCTGATGGGAGGGAATGAAGAACAAAGAGACAGACTTTTGCCAGCCTAGCTCACTTACAGGACAAGATGCAATGAGCACAAATTGAAACATAAAACAATCTATCTGAACACAAAAAACCCCTTTTTTTTTATTGTAAGGGCGATCAAACAGTGGAACAAGATGCCCAATGAAGTTGTGGAGTTTCCATTTGCAGAGGTTTTCAAAATCTTGACCCTGTAAAGTTAGATGTCAAGAGCTCCTTTCCAACCTAAATGATTGTTATAAGTTAGAACATTAAATACCACATATTTTGTGTTTTAAAGGTTCCTGCTCTTGGCACTATTTAAAAGAACTCACTGGCATGCATGTAAATTTCACTATTACAGCCACTTCTACAGAAAGTTAGTATTACTTGTGTGAAAAAAAGTTCCATTAAAAGTTCAGAACAAGACTTACCATAGCTACCAACAGACTTACTTGCAATAATTAAAGACAGAAATGCTGTTGCAATGTTACATGAAAACAGTGTTTTTGCTGCCATGTTTCTCTGCTAAAATGGAAAGAAAACTTTCAATTAGTGGTTTCCAATATGAAATTCTATAATTTAAAGTAAACTTTTGCATTACACAATTAACATAGGAATTACATAGTTTAAAGAGGACACACGAAATACAGGAATTGTCTTTGACTTGTTTTGAGCCTGTTACCTGCTTGTTACACCTGACAGCTCCTAAATACTACACCAGAAGGAAAAAAAAAAAAAAAGAATGAGCATCTATTTCAGCTTGTCAAGCACTTGGGTTTTTTTACATTGCTAGCGCACTCCTTCCCGTAGTGCTTAGGAAAGCACTTCTTGCTTTCCTAAGTTACAGTCACAGATTCTCTAACTCTCTCTTAGATGGAATCTGATTTCATAATTCTGACTTTTTTTGCCACCCACTTCTGTACTGCAGCCAGTTATGCTACAACCTGTCTGAGATGAGGAGGATAGGACATACCTTGAATACAGTGTTCAAAGCATAAGTGCACTATTATTTATAAGCAAAGACAATTATTGGTTTTTTCTAGATTTCTTTTCCTAATGATTTCTAACCCTATCTTTTTTCTTTGAATACTACTGAGTATTGATCTGATATTTCCATGGGCCTATAGTAAAATTTCAAGATCTCATCATTGGGTACTAAGAATCAGGCAAACTCAGTCAGCTGTTGAGCACATGATGTTAGGATTTTGGACATAGGTTTTCACTTAAAATTTTTCTTGCATTTCCCTACAACAATTTTCTTCTGCTATTATTACCCAGTCATTTACGATCGTGACATCTTTTTGCCATTCTTTGCAATTTACACCTCCATGTTCTAGCCTGAATACATCAGTATTGTTGGCAAATTCTGCCACTGAAACAGATTCCCTCTGTCTAGACCATCAAAATACATGCTGAGGAGTTGTTTGGGACTTTAGGAGTGATGTTTCTTCACCTAAAATCTAGGCATTTATCTTTTATATGCTTATTTATATATTTGAGAACGACTGTCAGGACTCTTTAGTAGTCCTCTGATCCCTAACATGTTCGGAGAAGGATCTCTTAGTTGCATGCCTCTGGCAAGCTGATCCTTAACTTGACCTGCTTTACTGTTTTTGTTTCTATTCAGCCTACCACAGTGTTTCACAGCACAGTGAGAGGACAAACGCAACTATTCCAACTGAAGTGTGAGCAGGAGGACCCCATCCTGTCGTGACAAACATTTAGCTGATCACCACTTTCCACAAGAGTCGAAGATGGCACTTCCGGCTGCTGTGTCTTACTTCACCAGACTGACTCAGAAGTGTGCCATGTGTTGAGTCATCCACACTGCTTCTTGCAGTGCCTTCTTCCCTTTCTCTTTCCTCCTCCCACCTTGCAAATCTCCACTCAAATTAGCAGGCAGGTCTTTTCTTGCCTAGCTCTAAGATGGGATGAGTCCCTGAACGAATCCTGACACAAAACATTAAAATTTCAGGAGGCAGGTTATATGTGCTTGTACAAAAGCTACAACTTTTTCTATTATTCATGATGCACAGAATCTCTTAAAAATCTATAATTTTTAATTTTAAAGAAGAGGAAAATATTGTAACATATAATTTAAAGATAAAACAGGATTGAATAGATTCCACTTATGAACAGGTATTTTCCTTATGACTTCTCTGAATCACTGCATTTTCACAAACTCTGCTCTCTTACAACGTTACCTTGCTCTTGTTCTCATGGTCTGTCTCACAAGAGCTCTCTCAAAAAGTTTTTTGCCCCACCGGTAGATTTAGCAGATGCAGAAGTAGTATTTTACTACACCCTGAAAGAAAGTCTTCCAGGATCCTGCTTTTCTATAATTTCAATATTCTTTCTATTTAAATTTATAATTTGCCCTTTTGTCAACATAGAAAAACTTGCAAACATACATAGAGCCTTGTGAAACCATACACACCACTTTGAGGAGGCTCCCTCATCTCTCACTTTCCCCGATGAAAAATTTCCATTTCTATGGAAGGCAGACACAATAGCAAAATTAGGCTCTTCTCTGTGCATGCATTCACATAGATAAGGATGAAAATAACATACATTCAATTGCAGAACCAATTGCAAATGTTTTTCCTACCCCATTCTGCCACGATAAACAGCTGAATTTCTTCCTTTCCCCAGCCATTCTGTCCACATCTTGAGCGCTCAATCGACCTGTGGAGCTTTATCATTCACAACAGACTTCAGCTCTGGTTATCTTTGCCCAGATTTTCCAAAGTGGAAAAAAATTTCAGGTATGCAAAGCCATGTCCATAAAGTTTTATCCTGAAAGGAAATATTTTTATCAATTGCAGTTAAAAAAAAAAAATCATTACAACTACCCCCTCCCCCCAAAAAACCCATCAATTTTCTGAAAGAGGTCTTCAATTATACGTGCACCTGAGTTACAACCACAGCATAGATGACAGCATGTAGGCATAATTCTCATTAAAATTTCTCATTAAATAAGCATAACCACCTTTTCATCTGCTTTTTAGTAATTTCAAAGTTGATCTACTCAATAAAAAAAAAGAAGTCTCCCCAAAACTTCAAAGGATCACAGGTTTCACTGATTCTGGTAAACTTGTGGCAGGTTTATTTGAATCTCATTCAAAAGCACAAACTGATTCAAACATGCAAGAGTCCTCAGAACTGAGAGAACCAACAGAAAGTCAGAGTACCACACTATTTCTGGTATATAAGCCTAGGAACACTTTAAATCATAAAAGATGAATATTAATTACCTTAAATGCTCCTGTTAACTGCAAGGTGCACCATGCCTCTTCTAGAGAGATTAATCAAGTGTCTCACTTTTGATCACGAAAAGAATGACGACAGCAAATACATCCATTCCTTCACTGGACACACCTAGTCAGCGTGGAAGAGCTGCGTTAGCCCCGTCAGGATGTAGTGACAGCTCTGCGACTATTGCGATAGCCGGGCTTCTGTCAAACGCCGGCATCCCTCAGCGGGTGCGGCAGGAAATCATTTTCCAATGCTCTTCATTTAAATTGCGACGTATTTCTGGAAGCATTCCCTGGGAAGGGGCTGTGGGTGCTGGGCAGGGCAGCTGCGAAGAGCAGGCTCGCTCGCTGTCGGTCAGGAGCCGAGCCACGGTCAGCGCTGACCCTTTAGGAGAGGTCTCACCCCTACTCCCAAAGCGTCCTCAGGCCCGTTTCCCCAGGAGACACTGCCTCGCTCCGAGCCACCTTCCAGCCCCAAAAGCGAGGCGTCGGAGCGACCATGGGCTCTGTGGATGTGTGCTGGGATCACCCCGGCCTGGCTGAGGCCGCCCGCCCGGTTACAGGAGCCCTGTTACAGAGCAGCGCTCCCGGCCGCACCTGCCCGGCCGGGCCGCCCGTGCCCGCTGCCGCCACGGCCACCCCCGGCTCTCGGGGCCGAGGGACACCCTGAGCCCCCATTACACGGAGGGCTCGCTGGGGCCGGGCCAGAGCCCGGGGAATCCCCTACCTGCTCCTCGGGAGCGGGGGAGCCCCGCTGCCGCCTCCCAGGGAGCCTCAGCAGCCGCGGGACGGCGGCGCCTCTGCCCCGGCACGGGCGGCTCCTCCCAGCGACGCCTCACCTTCCCCCCCGCCAACCTGGGTGTCCCCAGGAGCGTGGGGTGGCCCGGGGCAGGGCAGGGCAGGGCATGGCCAGCCCCCGTCCCCTCCGCGCCCCGGCGCAAGTAAGCGGTGCTGGTTAAACGCAAGCTCCAAAAAGCAAAGCGTTTGAGCAGCCACCGCAGCCCCTCGCTGCTGCGGGCTGGGCTCAGCCTCCGCCGCAGGAAATCCTCCAAGAAAAGACTGCGAGATCTCAGATGACTTTTGTTTGTTTGTTTGTTTGTAAAGTACGAACAGCTGCAAACTTCCCTAGCTGAAGAGACCGTGTCACTGGAAGAGGAAGAGCCCTTCAAGACTCGTGGAGGCTGTTGGCAGGAGCATCTCGGGGACATCGGTTGATTTATTTGCTTATTCAGTAGGCTGTTTTGGCTGCATGGTCTGCCTTGCCCAGACTGTCACTGAGACATTTGGAAGCTTGAACATACAGGTGAGTCTCATTTAGTCCCTAAGTTTTTATCTACAAACTTAACAGCTACTAAGTAATCCTGATATTTTAGAGATGACTTAAATTGTGGCTGTTCTGGGAACAGTATGTTCTTTAGGTTCTGGTGATTCTTAGTTCTCTGTTTCACACCACAGCTAGAGCCAGAGTTTTTCAGAGCAGAAGTTCCTCAAACTATTTTGTTAAACACGGAATCAAATGTGGGCAATTTTAACACTGCACTGACACTTACTTGTTGACTAACTACTAAGCTAGATATTAAGGTAGAGGAAAGCTTTTCCTTATGTTCTTCACAAAGCAGGCAACAATCATGGACTATAGAACTATCAAAGTAGGTGTTCTCATTATTGTTAAAAATACATCACAGCATTTCCTAAGCAAATTACAAGTATTCTACAAAAATTGTGGAGAATAATCCAGACATGTCCTGTCCCTTCCACCTCTTTTCATCCTGCTTTTGTTCTTCTTTCATTTCATGTTCTGGTACTGTTGTATTTACCAAATGGAAACATGTTCAAACATCCTACCCACTAGCTGCAGATAAGTGAAGATGAAAGATTATGCCCTGCTGTGCCTGCATAAACTGTCTCACATCAATCCAATGTATGTAGTGCTAGCTGGAGGCAAATTGCAACACTTCCAGACCCAAAGCTGTTGGGAGGTACACAGAAAATTAATTCATTCCTGACTTGGCAAACACAGAAGGATTTTACAGTCAGCTTGTTTCTCTTTGGTCACCACTTCTATCCATATTTAATTTTGGAAATGTTTCTCATTAACTTTCAAACAGTGCAAGATTATGCAAGATTTTTAATTTTTGTATTATTTTGCATGACCAAAAAACATCTGTGACCTATCAGCAGTGCCTGACAGCAGTTAGTCTGAAATTATGTCTTTTCAAGCATGGCTTGTGTGGTCACCAGGTCCTCCACACCAACTGACTTGAACTGCAAAAATCAGGGCAATACTTGCCCTACTTTTTTTAGGACAAGTGCCAATGACAAGCAAACATATTGTTAGGTTTTTTAAAGGCAATTATAGAATCCAGTAATCTCATGTTTTACCTGCACCTGGTAAATCATCCCTTCTACATGAGAAGAATCATATCATGTCTCTAAGACAACCACAAGTATATTTAGGGCAAAACTGTGGTTTATAGCAACCATCATAATTTTTGGGTTTGGCTGCCATATATATTCATCATATATCTTTCTCATCTGAAACTCAGCAGGGCAAATAAGAACAGAGTTTTAAAGTACTTTATGTAATTTTTTTATACCATTTCTACTTTAAGCTTTGTTGCACAAAGTAACTTTGATAAAGACATTAAGATTATCACTGTATGTACAAAGCTTTTAAAGTTACAAGAATAAAAAATATCAAGAAATATAATTGCAGGTAATTATTTACATAAGTTAAAGGTAAGTATTTACATAAGTGTACACTTAAAACTGCATAAAATGTATGTAATACATTATTTGAGAACAGAAAATTCTTCTATTGAGGAAGAAATATTCAAGAACACTATAATTTGCAGAGTATGCAAGAATTTTGATTTAGAGAGGTTAAGCTAGGGCAGGAAAATCAGAAATTTAAAATATAAAAGTAATGTTGCAGTGTTTGATTGCATCACCGTATTCTGTTGTTTTGTTTCATCATCCTTATTGCCTTCATTGTAGTAACCAGTTGTCATGGTGAGCAGAGAAAGTTGAGCTCCATTGCAAAGCTAGAGTTGCAGGGCTGACTGGAAAGCCACCTAGCAAAAGATGCCAGCAGATGCTTGAAAAATGAGAAGCCAAGGTGTGGCAGTAGTTATTGCCTTGGAGAGAACTTGTCAGGGGATAAGCTATGGCCTTCATATCAATGTTTTTATTAGTCCTGGCTGTACAAAAAAATGGAATTTTTCCTATGTAATTTACTAATGGCATAGTTAGAAAAGAAGATGTGACCCTGCAGCTTGGCTCATACTGATTTTTACCTATTTACGCCTCCTGCACTCAGAAATTACACCACTATTTTATTTTTTTTAAATTTAAACACAAAAATAGCCATTTGTCATCCAAAATCACAGACTAAGGAGAATTGTGGTCAAGATTCCTATGATTCACCAGTATATTATATATTTTAAATAAAATGTTTTAAAAATATAGGAAATGCTGCCTTAAATCAGGTGAACTGTTTCCAGTAGTTAGAGAAGTACTAAAGGCTCATGCTGTGCTCTGTCCTGTTAATACGCTCAAAAATTCCAAGAGACTTCACTGAACCACGGGTATACTAGGGGAAATAAGAAGCTTACATCTCAGGAAGGTTTTAAGTTAATTTGGCTTGTCTAGGTTAAATTGAAGACAGATTACAACTTCTGCCTATAAACAATACATCCAGTATATAGCAATGAACACCTCCTTTGTTAGGATGAAGCGTGGTAACTCACAGAGAGAACAGCATAACTGGATACCTGAGATAGGAATGAACTAGCCAAAAGGCAGGGGCAGCCCCTTCCCATCCTGTTTCCCAAACTCAGGCCTTCCAGGTACTATATAAACATATTGCATCGGTATCTACAGCCAATTTTTTGGTCACAGACAAGGAAAAAACTGCATTTATAATCAAATACATGTGACACTCACTGTCATAAAATTGTATCTAGGAGGTTTGAGATGAAGTCCTCTAAAAACTGGAAGGCAGCATTTGGCCTTACAGTTTAAATGGTAAAAGGATTACATGGAAATTATAAAACAAAATTCTCCATGAGGTTGCCTCCTGCAAGTCTTCACAATTACTTAGTTGAAATGTTCTCAGGAGACCTAGGATTGCATATTGCACTTTATCTGTGGAATTACACAAGCATAACCCCTTTTGCAGGCAGAGACAAGGTTCAGTGCCATCTTGTAACAGTTAAAAATGTTGGTGCAAGAAGTCCTACAACCAACTAACAACAAAAACTTTGAGCTAAATGAGAAACAGGAAAGAAATACATAATGTAAGTATTGCATCACCACAACTTTCAAGAAAATGCAAACCAGAGAAATGTAGGTCTCTAACTTCCTAAAAGGGCTTCTTTGGGCAATTCAGACAGTCAAATCTCCCACTTGAAGTGGGTTTTTTTATAATTTAAAACTAGTCAAGAAATTACTCCAGCATCTTTGTAAGAACTTCACTGTAGGTCATTAAACACCAGATGCCACTATGTACTAAATTTCCTCTAACACATTTTTTTGCATGCATCAGACATGTCTCTTCTCTGTCATTTCCCCCTTAAGCTCCAGTGTAGTACCAAGTTTAATTTCAATATGATTTCTTGGAAAAATAAGCTCATTTCCTTCCTGAAGATGCAAGTACAAAAAGTAATCTGAGAAAAGAGCACTAGCCTAAAAATATGCACCAAAACAAGTGGGACTAGACTAGAAATTTCACTAGCAGATAATAGAGTGACATTCTGTTTTGCTAATGAACAGCAAAAAAAAACAAACCAAAAAAACCCACACGTCTGCAGATGAATTCTTATTATTTTTGTCTGGTATAACTATTTTTAAAATATCATTCCATTTGTTTGGGCTGCTATGTTTGAATATAGCATTGAACAAAAAAATCCCTAGGAGTCCTAACAAAATTATTATGGACAAGGGAAGAAAAGGAGGAAACATTGTTGTGACTAGAAATACCTGAACATTATTTTGTATTAAGATACAGCTTTCTTGTGAAATACCTTACCTATGTAGTAGACAAACATTAAAATTATTCATTTAATTAAAAGGGAAAAAAGAAAAGTAGTATTTGGACTGGTTAGTTTATCATCTGCTGATTAGTTTATCATCTCAATCCAGCTACCAAGCTTCCATTATTTTCCTTTTAAGCCAGAAACAAACGAGCTCCAACACCATCACGTTTCACTGTTTGAATAATTATCTATTCTTAGGACCAACATGGTGCTATTATGGCATCAAAACTTCTGTAACTCCCTGGTGCCTTTTTTAGTTGCATGAAAAAAATCCAACGGAAAACATTTCTTAACGTTAGGGAAGATTTTTACAAACAGCTGGTTTCTGCTATTAATTGTTCAGTTTGTAGTCATAGCAGTGTTTTGTTGGAAAAAATCTGTAACACTAAAACTGTAGCAATATTTTTATTTACACTGGCAGGCTAGGCAGAACAGATTCCTCAGGAAAAGAACAACACCAAGGGTTCCTGAGTGAATCAAGCAAGAGTTGAAAAGAGGGAATGAAAAATGAAGTAGCAGCCTCTGACAGACTGGGTCTTTGTGAAATGGGAAATGAAGGCTGTCAACCTTAACTCAGTTTTAATCAAGGGTTTGCACTGGAACTTCTGATAACATTTCAGCCTCTCAAGGCACTGACCATTTGCATGCTGGGGCTCTGCTACAGAGCATGCTCATGACCCCCTTCTGGCTGGAGACTGGGTTTTCTTCCATGGAAAGCCAAAGAGGTGGTTTGAATCCACATACATCCCAGTGTGGAGTGAGGATACAGCTGTGCTGGGCAGCTAGGCTCAAGAGCACCGAAGAACTAAAACATCCTGTAATACTGGAGTCATAGACAGTGTTCAAAAGTTTTATTTATGATTCTGCTCATCTCAGAAGACTTGCCTGTCTGAACTTTCCTTCACCCCTGAGGCAATGAAGGTGTGATGCAGTACTAGGAGGGCA